AAGCCATTTTTTGCTGTGCTAACCTTATTTTTCCCTGCACAAAGCCTTCTTTATATGAGCATGAGCTGGTTTACAAACTCAGATCAGTGAGGTGTCATCGTTGATGATTCTGTTTTAAACACATTTCAGGAGCTATTTTGTGCTCTGTTTAGTCTGTTTCTTTTTTTCATTTGAAAGAAACTCTTCCAGAGCGACCCTGCTGATACTTCTCCAATGCTAAGGCACTAGTATACTCTCAGCCTTGCTGCCTCAGCCACCCAAAATGCATTGGGTGGCCTGGTAGAAGGGCTGGAGTCTGTGATTTCATGGACTTTCAGTCTTCACCAGTGATCACTGAATGAAAGATAAGGCTGAGCACCATATTTGCTTCTCAGAGGGACAGATGGAGAATAAAATGTATTGTGTTCACGTCTTCATGTGTGAAGTTGAGAATGGGAGCAAGTAAAGTTTATCTCAGCAGAAAGGCAGGGGAGGAAATAAATAAGTCTTATAATCAGGAGATGCCAAGACATGGCTTTCCCCCTTATACATCTGAATAAATAGTATGTTAGGCTGCATATTATTGAAATGACTTAGTGAGAACTTTATATCAAAATTTTATGAAAATGACTATCTATATGACCAGGTTTTAGATTTGATTCTATTGACTGGAGGGGAGATGTTGGGTGGAGACAATGAAAAGCAATGTGGGTGAAAGTGATGATTAACCAATATTCTTTTAGTGTGAGAAATGTGTAAGATCAATAGAAAAAGGATGTCAGGTTGTCTCTTTCATTTTTTTTTTGCAAACTAAAGTATTTGACATTTTCTCTGGTTTAGTTTCCACAAATAAAAGCTGAGTATGACAGTTAATACATAACACTGTTGATAAATATACACACACCTTTAAACAAGAGGATCAAGGGAATGGTTAAATTGATGATTCCCAGACTGTGGTCTGCAGCTAATATGCAGAGCCATCGTTAGCATTAGCAATTCTGAGCTCAAAATAGTTTGAAAGCTTTTGTGTTAAAAAATAGATCCTTGAATGAATTAAGTTAATTCATTCAATTACTAGCTGAAATGATCAGGGACTTGCTGACAACTGCCATAAGAACTTATGAGGCTTCCTACAGTCCTAAAAATCTGGAAGAGAGTAAGCACTTGGTTCACATTTTTCAACAAATAGAAGTGTCAGCTTATGCTGATGTAGAATAATTAAATTTATTTATGAATCAGTGTTTGGACACCAAACAGATAGTAAGGTGATCACTAGCTTTTTGTTTGATAGGGTAGCTTGCAAAAAGGGTCACTTAAAACTTTAAAAAAAACAAAAAAAAGCTTCAAATGCAGACCATATGACTTTAGCCATATAGTAGGAAAAAAATTTCCAGCTAAAGGTTACTTTGGAAAATGTGTATGGCTTCTATGGCTTTAAGAGCATGTATGCAGACATACACGCCTGGAGTAGTCTAGCTGTGCTTACCTTGCCACATAACACAGGGCAGGAGTAGGTTTCCTGTGAGGAACCTTTCGGCATTGCATTTTTCTGCTTCTTGCAGAACTGTTCTTCTTCCTTAAGGAAAATTAGTAGGGAGAACAAAACTGGAAGCTTGCTTTGAAGGTTTTGAAGGCTTTCTGACTTGACTGGTAACGAGAGCCATATGCATAAGAAGAGAATAATTATTCTCCTCAGAACCGAAGGTGGCCTGCTGTTCATTTTGCATCAACACCAGCTTATATAATTCTTGTACTCAAAATGAATGACCGAATTCCCATTGTCTTCAGTACTGTTGCATGGAAGTCTCAGGTCTGGTCTTTGGCTTGCACGCTGTGTGTGTTTATATACGTGTGAGGTATTATTTACCTGCAGTGTAAGTGTCTAAAAAGCATATGCAGGAACATCATACTAGGAAAACTTGAGTAAATCACAGCAAAATCACTGTTCCCTTTCAGAAAAGACATTTTATCATTTGTTGGAAAAGGGCAAGAGCAGAAACAGCTTAGTTTTCAAGACGTGATTTTGTCTTTGTTAAGAGAAAAAGCTTTTGCGTTTTTTTTTCTTTTGCCCCCCCCCCCATAATTCTGATCATTACCAGGGTTCCTTCTACATATACACTTGATGCTTCAAGCAGTTGCAAACTCCATTACTGAAGACAGCAGTGACCTATAAGGAAAGACAAGTAATAGGGTTGCTTCATGCCACAGGTTGCTGAGGAAAGTCACAATATGTCTTTAAGAACTGCTGCATAGAAGAAAAGGACTATACTTTTACTGATTTCCATGATCCTAGGACCAGCAGTGATGGCTTTATATTTCTGCAAGAGCAACAGAGGCAGGACATTAGCAAAAAAGAATGAAGCAAGGCAAATGGAGAATTGAAACAGACCTCCAAGACAGAGTGCATAATCTTAATGGCTGGAGACTTTTAAAAACAACATAAGACATCTTTCCCCAAGGCAGGTAGATCATGTACATACACTTTCTGTAATGGCTGTGTGCTGCTATCATAATACAGAATAAGGACAGAGCACTCCAACAGCTTTACTACTTTGTTTGGCTTTTGTTTTTAAGATTAATAAACAACATGTCAGACAGCAGTAGATAAATAAGTAACCTGCATTACTTGTACAAAAAGTTATATAAATACAAGTTTGCTGTTTTGTTTTCTTTTTAGAGAAAGAAAGTGTCCTTTCATAAAATATCCAGCAATCCTTTTCTTGACTGAGATGCTGCCAAGTTACAATTCAGAGGACAGACATATGAAATTAAATCCACACAGTGCCACAACACAGTGGACCCTCCAGATCTGATCCTTCGTGTTTATCCTATGCACAGTTACACAACAACTATTAATCATGGGTTCATCTGAATACGTTTTGCAATTAAACAAATGAAAACACTTCCTCTTACTGCTTTTTGTTAACTACTGTACTAGAAATATCCACCACATTGTCGTCGTCGTTGTCGTCATCATCATCATCATCATTATTATTATTATTATTGCTGTTAAGGAATTGTCCTTCATTCCATGCATAATTATCATTTCACAAGTTAAAAACATCATCCCTCCCTCATGTCATAGTCTATAAAGCACTCTGTGCACAGTGAAGCAGATCCCCAATTAAATGCAAATGCTATTAAAATTAAGAGAAATACACTATTACTGGTAATTTTAGAGGAACAAAATTATGGGGACATTTAAAAAACCCCAAAATAGTTTTATCTGAACAAAATAATGTACAATTATTAATATTGCACTTTTTGTACAAGAAATCCTAATAAATATACAGAAAAGATATACATTTACATACATAGAAAGACATTCTTTTTTTTTAAATAAAAAGTTACACTGATGCTTAGCAACACTATTTCTTGAAGACCCATTTATAGCAAGAGCGTTCGCTGCCAGATGTATTTTGAAGTAACCCAACTTGAGACAGTTTAATGTCATGAATCTGGCACTGACCTCGAAAGTGGACTCCCAGTTTTGCTGAAAAATCCACGTGTCATGGAAGCTGTAACACAGCAGTCCTTGAATAGCATTGCATTAACATACCACAAGGCATTAGCCCCACTTGGGGTGACAGGAGGGGCACAGCCGAGCCTTTAATTTAGAGATGGTCTTGAACCAAAGCCTCTGATCCAAATAGCTCTCCTTTAAAGTTTCATAATGCTCAAACCCCCTACTTTGCAGATTTCCTCTAACTTTAGGACCCTGTTCTGAGCAGAGCAGAGAGTGCCCAGGAACTAAAAGGACGAAGCACTTCACTGACTGAATAACCATTGCAGCTGGCCAGGAGGAAAGATTCACAGCAGGCAAAGTCACACTCTGGGTGTGATGTTTGAGCCTTGCATTTTAGATCGCATTTTCAGCATGTTATGCATGGGCTTAAAAATCTGCTGCTTTATAGCACCTGTTTTGTTGTGGGAGGCAGCTGGAGAGGAGCAAGCTTGTTAGAAATATTGGCATTAACCCTCTAGGGCTGATGTTGAATCCATTTTGTTTCCACTGAGTAGGAATAACCACAAGAAATCAGAATACATCTCCTTTCTACTACTTGTCCAAAAGGCTTGGCTGCCAGGAGAGAGAAATTTCATGTTAACAGGATAGGAAAACCCACTTCCTCAAGCTTCTTTCCAAAACTGCAGCTCTGAAAGCACCTGAACTCTGGGAACTGGTACTCCTCTCTTTTCCAGTAAGTGTTAGTAGGATGGAGTATGTGAAGTAGCTGCTGTTACCACTGACAATTACTCTCTTTCCTGCCTGTCCTCTCTACAGGACATTTGCAGGTTTGTACCACGGTCCATCAATATCAGGTCATACTTTCTGTCCTCCTCGATAATAATTAACACCACCACCCCACCTCTGTGCTGAAGGGAACACTCCTATCCCCAATCCTCCCTCACAAGAACAACCTGGGAACATTTTCAGGTGTGTTTTAGTCTCACTTATGTTACATGCCATCGTTCAACTTCCCTAGACACCAGATCCTCAAAGATTATGAGGATGTCCCACTGAAATCGTTTGAAGACCTGGCGTGAGAAGCAGACAGGGGTTTAGAAATTAAAAAATGAGTCCAATCTTGGATGTAACAGATAGGTTTATAAAGCAAAATCAAATACTTTTATTCTCAAAGTAGTCTAAGATATATGAAATATCTGTATACTGCATAGCTGAATGTTTAGTTTAGCCTTTTTAGTTTTTTTCCCTCCAATACCCTATGATCTGTTAAGCTGTTTGATAATTTTTTCATATTGTGGTGGTCCAATGTGATGCTAATTTTTACTCTAATCCACTTCCTCATTGTCTGTTGGTGTAGACCCAGACATGTACATGGATTCTGGGGCAGTCTCACTCCTCTCAGGTCCATTGATGGTGTCGTGGGGCTCACTGACTCTTTATGGTCTACCCTTATGACCGTGTTTTGCTCCATTCTGTCTCCCAGATTCATAGAAGGGAAAACTTGTCAAGTCCCTTTATGAGAATGATTTGGTAAAAGGTTTTCTTTTTTTTTTTTTTTTTAAAGGGAAATAAATAAATAAAATGAAAAAAAAAGAATTCCATTCCATTTATATTTTCTGTAAAAGTCCTTGCCTCAGTGAAGCAAAGGCTGCGATCCCCTTGTTCCTCCATGTTCATTGCTTCTGTCTTCAAGCTTTTCCACAAGTCCCACAGCAGCGTGACTTGAACTGGGTTAGCTGGCAGAGTTTGAGCTGCTTCACTTTCTCACAGTACCTTGTGGTGTCTCTGCACTCCACTGCCGAAGGGGAAACAAAAAGGAGAATTGGTGAGGAAGCAGTGAAAGAAGGATTTCTTACCTGAGAACATTCTTGGGATGGCCGAGAGGGGGACAAAACCACATTTGTGTTGGGTGGCCTCATGATGAGCACGAGCTTGACTTGCTGCAAAGGCTGAGCAGGGACTTCAAGCAGCCAAAGGCTGAAAGGAGAACGTGTTGGGCAGCCTTTGCTTTCAGAGCCTGGGGAGAGGGCTTCTAAGACTGCTCCAACGCTCTGTCAGTTTGTCATCTACTAGCATTTTAGGGAAGGTCTAGGAGTTTCATAACAGCTGTTAAACCAAAGATGAAGTAGTAAATAAAACTGAAAACTTATTTTAACACAGTAGCTCAAAGGCACTTTGGCCAGCCTTTTGCATTTGAGGGTACAGTGTGTGGGAATGCCACCTCAGCTGACCAGGTGTGCTGTGCTTTTCACATGTGTGTTGCAGAACACAACGTGGGAGGAATATGTTAAGATCGTTTTTGAACAATCCCAGGACTTGGGTCCTGTTATCATTTAGACAGTTTTTAAGATCCACAGCCTCATGCTTTTCAGCTCTGGATTGGAACGCTGTCCAGTACCCCTGCAAGAATCTTGGGTGTGTTGTTGCCTGAGGGACTCCCACTTCCCAGGCCAAGGCTGGAAAAGGGATCGTCACAGAGCAGTTGCACAGCCCTCTCTGGTGCCAATAAACTCCACTGGTATTTAGATGTGGGACATTTCTACATAGCAGGAAGAGGCTGGAGGGACAGCAAAGGTCTTGCTCAGTACCTGTAAGCTCCCTCAGCCCTTCCACTTCCATTAGGGCACCACAAATTCAGCTGACAGGTTTAGACCTGTGGAGTCTGCTTTGCTTCTACCAAGAGGGAGTCTCAGAGCTAGTGTGGCCCTAGGCAAGCACAGGCAGGTTCTTCTGCTGCTTCTGCAACAATTGCACAGCAGCTGGCTTGCATGCTAGAGGATGGGATCTGACCATCAAAATCAGCACAAGAAGTGGTGGACAGGGAAATGAAAAGATAGTGATTTAAACTTGTCCTGCCTGGTGTTTCCCAAGCGGATATTGCCATAGTGGAGCATTGTTTCCAGAGTCGCATAATCTGTTCTTTTTGGGTTTTTTTTGTTTTTTTTTTTAAATATTTGTAACTTTTCTAGTCCTTTGGTAGGCTCAATTAATTGCTTGTCACCTGAAAGCAAGCAGCCTCCACTTCAGGAATTCCCACCAACAACCTACCCACTCGATTTAGACTTGCTGTATTTTAACTACAGCCAGCAGCCTGTGATTTGTGTTTTTCTTTCTGTCTGTACCATTAATGGAAAGTTAAGACTGGATTAGCCCTTTCACACACTGTTAGCAAGGGGATGCAATCCCAGCGCTAACACCATTGCCAACAAACCGCAATGGGCACCATTCTCCCTGGGGCACTGAGTTTTGGACACTGCATCTTGCACATGTTCAGGCTTGAAGTTCCCCAGGATGCCCAGCTGCAAGGTCCGGTGCTGCATTTCTGAGACAGCTCTGCCTTATCTCTTCCCCGCATGCCACACTGCCTCCCCTCCTCTCAGCAATGTACCGTTTTCACAGGGCGTGATGTTGCAGCGTTGCCAGTTCGCTGGCCGTGGTCTCCAGGAGCAGTGATGCTCCAGCACGGGTTTGTTGGTGCGGACATGCAGGCAGTCCACGCGCCGGGACTGGAAGCCGTAGTTTCCACATGTAGCCGTGCAGACACTCCACAGACTGACCCTCCAGTGCACACCACAGACGTCAGTCCAGCAGTTCTGGGTGCTCAAAGGCCTGCAGGCAGGAGAGAGGGAGGGGTGACCCATCACCATGCTGCCTGGGGAGCAAGCGCACGCCACTCCATGTGCCATGCAAGCTCTGGGGACAGCAAGCCTTGCATATCCCAAATGCAATTCACTCAGAGCACCATATGGGTCAGGTCTTCAGCAGGTACGAGTGGGGGTAACTCCAGCGCACTGAAAGGCAGTTTGTAACTGCACTCAAGGGCCAGACCCTCAGCGGGCGCACACTGGTATAGCACTACTGGAGCTAAATGGACATTTGAACTATTTAAGGATTTGGCTGAAACGTCCTCTCCATGAAGTGCCAAACCAGAGGTCCACTAAAAAGATGCAATAAGTCAAGAGGTCACCACTAAGACCCAGCAGGGCTTTGTAACTTTTTTATGGCTTTACAGCCAGTGGGAACAAAAACGATTCTCTGAAACTCTCCTTTGCTCTTCAACGCAGTCTCACAGAAGATGCATAGGCACACTTGGTTACCACCTATTTGTCACACAGATAATTAAAATACATGAGTGGGAACCCAAGAGCCAATTATATTAATTTTCAGTCATGATCAGGCATTATTTACATACCTAGAGTCTCATGTAAAGTAAACATGTTTTTACAATGTTGACAGTGGAGTTTCTCTGCAGGAAAACAAAGCTGTGGAATCCCTTTTGTTCCCTAGTTAGAGCTTGTATTTACATAAGAGAGAAGGAAACTGGCAGCTTAAGAAGACATACCATAACCTTTCAGTCAGGATTTGCCATGCCTAGAAGACTTCCCAGTTGTTAGCCAACCACTGTTTTTTTCTGGGGTTCATAGGAACAAATAGTGAAGCCTGGGCTTAAGCCTAGTGAGATTTGTACCATGTAACTGTACGTGTTGCAGCATGACCTCTTTGTTACATACGGGAAACACAAAAGTTGTCAGTTAAGTCACCAGTCCGTTCAACATCTCTGCAAAGGGCAGTGGTTTCAGACATAAGAGATTCCCATCATACCTTGGTAAGGCACTGCATTGATCCGATGACACAGAAATCCCATCTTTGGTCTGGCAAAATACCTGTCTGTGCTGTACAGCCAGCCGTGGTCCAATGCAAGGCCTGTTACACTGTGAACACAGAAAAAATCACTTAAGGGAGGTAAAAGGCAGGACATATTCCCCTTTTATAAGACTGCTGGTGCAATAAAGCACATACCACCATGCAGTGACTGTTGAGCTCTCAGGAACTTCCTGCAGCTCTGCAGGCTTTGAAGGCTGAGTGCCCAGTCATCTTCTGCCCTACCTCACTCTCCTCCAGCAGCATTTCTATATTTGCTCTGTAGATTCATTACTTCTCCTCTTCAAGAGTTCAATCTTAAATACTTCTGTCAGGGCAAATAAAATGCTCTCATGTCATAAGCCAAGAGCCTATGATCCATACAGGCAATCTCAATACATTCCTTTTATTGTGCATTTTGCAGCATCACAGTTTATGGGCAAATAGTTAATAACCAAGAACACATTGAACCAAGAACTTATTCCACTCCATTTAATAGTTTAAAAGCATTGCAGAACAATAAACAAAAGCAGCATCTGTGACAAACACAGCAGATCTGCCAGCTTGCTCCAATACTGAGGTTATCCTAACCTATTCAAGCTTATCAATCACACATTTAATCCTCTCCTTTGATTAAATCTTAACTATAGGTATGAAGCATGTATTTGTGTTCTTTTAAAATTATACAATGTTTAGAAAAGAGTTTATTTTTTCTAAGTATCTGGAAATTATATTCAATAACAGACTGAAGGTTCAGGAAACGGACTTTAGTGCAAGGGAGGAATTTTTGCCAGGGGAGGGCTGCTGACTGATTCGTCTGCCCGCTCCACACCCTCACCACTAGGAGCCCTATTTCACACTGCCATGCTCTCCTCATGTAATACTCCCTGACAACTGGGAGGGAAAAGCAGTGACTGCCAGATTTCCAGTTGCTTCCAGTCAACCCCCTCATTGAGCAAGGTGGGTGGAAATGTCATTCACTGGAGTATGTGGAACACTTCTGTGATATCTGCAGGGCTAAGAGTCATCACCAGTAAGCCGGAGTCACTAGTTTCAAAACATGATGGGATTACATAGTGGAGATCAAAATGCCACTAACATTAAATGAAGGAAAAGAATTTATTCTAGAGGTGGGGGTGGAGTAGGTAGTCTGTTTATTTTCTCTATGAGTTGGGAAAGTTGGTCACTACACCTGGGCAACAGGGACCTCATACCCCATGATACTACTGAGAAGGTCATTGATCCACTGAGCCACTGATATGTTCCTAACTGTAATTAGGTAACAGTCTTCTGGCTTGGAGACTGAGCTGTCTAAAATCATTGTGGGACTTGATATTTTTTTTTAAGCTAGGTAGAAGAAATATTATAATGCACAGAGGATAGATCTAACAAATTAATTCAGACCTCTTTGATTTTCTCAGCTGAGTATGATGTCATTGGGAACAATACAGCCTGTAATGATCTACAAAATAAGGATGAGGTAACTGGCTTTTTGCAAGGATAATCCAGTCCTTTCCTGGAATTCCACAGGGAGTGAAAATTTGGTTCTTTCATATAAAAAGATAATTCCAAGCTTTATTCAGAAATGCAGTACAATAACTCAATCACCTTTCATGACAGAAATTTTGAAAATACACAGGGAAGAATTAAATAAAGCTGTTTTCAAGTAGTGAACAATAACAAATTCTAGTAGCTGAAGACGTTTTTTACTACCAACATTGTAAAAAACCCTGATGCAGTGCAAAGTGTTGTGCATATTACCCCAAGCAAATACAGAATGCATGTGGTTATTAATAACAAACTAACATATTACTCTAACCTCTAATACAACGTGATAGCATTTGCCATTGTTTTCAAACTGCCGCACCACACACTAATTAGAAAAAGAGGCAAAATGTTTCATGCTATATGTCAAGACTGATAGGTATTTGGTTATTATTTTCTTAGCCTTGCTTCTATATCTTTACCTGACTCATCTTTTCAGTTAGATGTATGGCTACTTTGGTTTTATCAAAATGCTTTTTCCCTTTGAAAATGTTTATTTCACCAAAAGTGATGTTAAAGTAATATTTGTATGTGGCTTTAACCTCTAGCAAAATTGGCTTTGGTGGTTTTAACCCTGTGTCTCATTCACCCTGGAATGCTATACCCCTACGTGAATCACCACTCTGGAGGTCCTTGGGCTAAAATCTGTGAGTTTCTACCCCTAAGTCTGAACTGTAGTGGACTCATCAGTCTTCACACATGGCTCAGTCAAGCTGGAGTGGAGAGAAGAAGGAGGAGAGCACATAATGACTGGTCCCAGGTTATAATTGACTACATACTGACAAGTGCTTTTCAGGAAATCTTATAGTTCATAGAGAGACAAAGACAAAACTCTTTTGTGGATTCCCACAATAAAGTGATTTAACTCTAAATACTTGGAACATTTGGTATTTATAGAGTGAAGCTTTTAAACAGCTGATCATTGTATGAAGCTGCAAGGAGAGAATTTGAACATCTGCAAAACAGCATGAAGTAGTCTGAAAATGCTTTTAGCCTTCTATTCTGCTTTTTGTCTTGAAGAAAATCAAGAAAGTTCCCACTTTTTGGTGTTCCCAGGCAACATCAGCAACTTTGTAAACTGGGTTATTGTACAACCCCCTCGCTGCAATCCTATCACAATCATCAGTCCTGACTCCTGCTAGCCAAAACTGAAAAACACTCACTGGGTGGTAAGGGGAATTAAGACTGGGAGAAGGCTATTTCCCAGATGTGTCACCTGTCACCGTAAAGAGAAGCTGCAGACCTTTCCACTTGGGATGATACAGGGGTCTGCAATAAAAGTCCTATTCACAAGCAGCATTGCTAGGGTTTGTGGGAAGCTACAGAAATCCAAGCATGCAGTGCATCAAATATGGAGTTGAAAAAGCTGAGAAAATTAGTTGCTTAAAAGCCTGCAGGCCATTACCTAAAGATACCAGGGTGAAAAATTACTCCTCTCATTTTCTGTCACTTTTTTCTAGCCCACACTATAAGGCTATCCTTGGACCGCTGGCTTGTTCCTTACCTGGCTCCAGGAAGAAGTTGTCCACTCAACACAGGGCTTCCTGTTACAGTTCTGTGTGTCCACAGGGCGCTTGGACACCTGGGCACAAGCTTCATTCGACATCGGGACAGAGCTGCCTTTTGCTGTCAGGCGCTGACATGTCACTCGCCGCATCTGGATGCCTCCACCGCAGCTCCGTGAGCAAGGAGACCACGATGTCACCATCCATCTGTGAGAGAAAGGCAAACGGATGAGGGAGCAGATACCACCATCTGCAGGATCACTGATGTCAACAGGACCAAAGAAAGGCAACAATGGCGTGGTTCAGTTAGGGTGCGATCCTGGAAGGTTCCAAGTGCCTCAGCCTCCCATAGCATTCACTGAAAACTGTTCAGAGGATGAAAGCTGAGAATAGAGCACATTTTTCATTGAATTATCTTTCTCAAGGCTTTTTGGGCCCAGAATTCATTTTCTAGCCTTAAGGCTGTTTTTAAAGGCTTAGTAAAGGGACTGAGCATTTTGCTTTTAAACCACTGTGCTATGGAGGCTTTGGTCGCGGGCTACAGTCACAATGCCAGCAATGATTCGTTCATTTACACTCCTTAGTAGGGAAAACTATCTCTGTAAAGTTGCTGAAATAGCTCACAAGCCACTTTGAACTCGCTCCTGGCACAATAACCAAAATTCTGCTGGGTCCTGCTGATGCCTGGTCTGTTATGCCCCTGACAGCTGGGACAATCCAGAGAAGCCTGAAGGTTGCTCAGGGATGCAACTCTTTCTCCTTTCCTCTTGAGCTCAGGCCATGCATTCGCTGGCTGAGGCTCTGAACCTCTGTGTGCTGGGGGTTAAAAAAATCCAGTCTAATTAGTAAAAAGCCTGTAACAACAGAAAATAAAAGGCCAGGTCCAAACTCTTACCAGGATGGACAACACATTTTGTCTCTTTAAGGATCATTAAGTGAAACACTCGTACAGTTGGGTTTGGGAAGGAGGTAAGAACAGGAAGGATGGAACTGATTACTAGTTTCCTGAAGAGTTTTATGGTCAAATCAGCAGTTTGCTTCATTAAGTTTCATGATACTTGGCAAGATTTGTGTGTTATTGGGAGGAAAATAGCGCCTATCACGTCCCTTACCAGCAGTGTTTATGATTACTTTACAAAATAGGCAATAGGTGTTCTCCAGTCCCATGCAGTGGCATCCATTACTATTCCTCAGTGTTGTGCGGGTGATAAAAAAATCCCATGGTCACAGAAACACATATATAAACAAACACACTCCTAATACGGAAAACAAAAACACTGCTACTTTTTTTGTGCAGTTTGGTGAGGCTGAATCTGAAGTTTCCGTACCCCTCATAAAGCTCTGCTCTGCATTTCAATCAACTTTTATTTCCAAGGTTACATCTCAGCAGTTTCTCAGGAGCTCAGGGAGGACTGTGGGTTGCATTACAGTTCAGGGAAGGTATAAAAAGACATAAACCATTCCCATGGAATTTACAGCCATCACCAAGGAAAACTGCTGCTAATGAGCATGTTTCATATTTCATCAAATCTCTTTTGGTTTCCTTCTTATGACTCAGCTGGCAACTCAGAAAACATTTGCCTGCAAAGAAGGGTAGGAATATATTTTAAAAGGTAATTAAACAGAACCTTGCTATATACCCAAGACACAGCAAGTGTGGTAAATCTGACTGCTTACTTCTCATCAGGTTGCTTAGCACCTCTCCTTGCCTCAGCTTATATTCTTTTTTCTAATACAAGTCCCAAATCACTGTTGAATGAGAGAAGTTGTACTAAATTTCTCTTGAGATCTTGACTACTTTTAAGTGCTTGTATACTGAAACACACCATGTCCACAGCTGAAATAAGGGAGAGCAGGGCATAAAAACCCAGCAAAATATGGAAGAGCACGTTTACACATCTCAGCTAAGGAGCCACTGAATTGCAGAAGCACAGCATTTTTAACATGGAGGGATTAAAACACTGACTCTTTGGATAGGCACTCAGGATGTATTCTTATTTACACCAAAGTGTGTCAAAGAAGGGAAGTGTTTTGCAAGGGAAGGAAGCAGGAGAGGAAGACCTAAGTGTAGTCAGAAGTCTTTCAAGCTGTCCTGGCTCCACTGTGTTTAACAGTAACGGAAAACAGGGGATTACAGGGGAAGAGTTACAAACCCAAGGAAAATCAAATCCAAAAGGAGGCAGAACTCAGTCTGATCCCCCTTCATGCCCACTAGATCTGATGGGATGTGCCCATTTTACAAAATACATTTCCAGTCTGCTAAGGGAATTCTTTGCAGCTGCAGCTACAGTCCTGGCTGTATTGATATTCAGGCAACACAGTAACTCAGAATAAAATCCCAAAACAGCTGCTAAACCTAGCTCCTTATCTGTTATATTGTTGGGATAAATTGGTATGAAGCCATGTGGAACACAAAAAAGATATGACCCTACAGTTCTTGGGTGACAAAACTCCCATATGTACAGAGCTTAGAACAGGCATGATATTTACATCCAACATAGGGCGAGGCTGGAATCACCCAAGACAACTTAAGCTGTTTACTTAGCTAATAAAGAGAAGGCAATAGCCTATTATTTTCTAACCTAATTACTGAAGGAGTAAACGCTCTTTCTACCATGTATTGTCAATGTTTTCCACAAATCTTGCTACAAATTCCCAACTGTCTAGGTTAAGCACTCATAAATTCCCTTTTAGCCATGACTTTTCTCCCAGACAGGCACCAAAGAGGCTGCAATGGCATGATGTCATTGGCAGTGCAAAAAACTCTTTGAGCACATCTTAAAAGCATGTATGACATTTTAACATGAGACCGACAAACCGTGAAGGGCAGTCTCTCCTGTTGCATGCAACAGGCTGCAGGGCTGGCTTGGGCTTCTCTTTGCAGTAGGATACATTGACTTCGGCCCCATCCAGTAAGCACCTCAGCTGGGGCAGCTGCACTCCTTTGTGGCCACAGGAAGCTGAACAAGCCATCAGCTTGTCCACTGACCATCGGTATTCTGTCAGAAAGTATGGGAGAGACATGTTAACACTCAAAAACTGCCAGCAGGAGACCCATAGAAAAGAAAGAGTCAGAAATGTTCTGCAGGATGAAATATTTGGACTCAGTGTCTCGTGTGAAGGGGAGCTAACTACACCTACAAGGCACCAAGCAATAAACAAAGAAGGATTCCAGATGATGTAAGCCACTGACTGCCTTTCGGGTAACAAACCAAATTTTTTGGTGCTTAGAAGCATCAGGCATGGAACGCGAGTGACATGGTAGAGCAGTTAAGTGAAGCTAGATGCTAGTGATGCAGGACATTGCGTCTACATTTTTAAAGGGGTGTGATTTAGTGAAGATGTGGTTAACTGCAGTTACCAGCACTATCTATGATTCTGTGATCTTACAACAGTGTATTTCTCACCAGGTAGATCATACAGATCATCCATCCTGAAGATGAATGGGGGAGTTGCATGGCAAAATTTAAGGGAAAGTTAAATTCTTCTCCACTCCATCCCTGACAATTGGAGCAATGAAAGCTGCATATTCTGTTCCAAACAATCTGCACTGCTCTTTTCTGTGGCTTTATCACCTTCGGTTTATTTCTACGTTAAATATAACAGATGCAGCATTTTTGCAAGTGAAGGGTTTTCAAGCAAGAAGGGATTGTGAAACACTGACTTTAGCAGATTAACAGAGGGGCTTCTAATTTTAGGGGTTCAAACTGTGACACCTCTGTCTTGAATTTCTGGTCAAGAAAATCGTCCAGACTCAACAAACATAGTATAGCTGGAATCAGCAGGGAGTGTTTTATGCTCAGCAGGCCAGAAATGTTGGGTGTCATTTTGGTAAAGTAAAACCTAAGACACTGCAAGGTACCCGGTTGTCCTGCAAATCTATATCCACGGCAGTAAAATGGCAAAACATCTATTTCCTATTATGCATGGCAGTCCTGGCTTCATAGAGGAGAAACCCAGGATGAGACAGGCAGTACAGGGAAGTCCATGGTAAAAACTTCACAGAGCAGCAGGATCAAAACTGGAAAGTTACCTTGTATAGCCAGGGATGTTTTTTGTGTGAGTGAGCCAGCCTCATTCTGAGCCAGGCAGCTGAATTCACCATCAGGAGCATCACTGATGTTGAGTATCTGAAGAATCCGGCCCACTGCCAGAAGGCGATGCTGCAGACTGAGAGGCTCACCAGAGTAAAACCAGGTGATGTTTGGGATTGGATGACCATCCACAGCACAACCTAAAAAACCAGGGACATGAAAGAAACCTTCTCAGTACTGAACTTGCTGAAAAATTACATGCTTTGAAGTGGTCAAAATTAAGAGAAAAAGTCGATTCCATCCCATTTTCTCCTTATCTTCTAATAATGAAAAATAGGAATACTATGGTAATGAGTACCTTCTCATCAGCTGAAAAAAAAGTTATACAAAAGCCAGCTAATCAGCCATATGAAAATCTCAGATCCATTTGGAAATATTCATATCATGCCTTCCCATTATTTTGGATCATCCTCCTTTTAGTATTGAGGAAGTTACACATCTAGTGTAAGTTCAAGGAGCAGCTTGAACAAGCAATACAAATAGAACTTGGTCTCCAAACCTCCTACTGGTGGGCATCTTCCTCTCTTGTATTTTATATTAAAAATCAGAAGTTTTTGTTACACAAACTTTTACACAAAATTCTTGTTACACAAAAAAACTGTTGAAAAACCCCAAAGAGATAAAATTGAGCCTTTAGAGGTTTTTGTCGCACCAATGGTCAATTCTCCAAGCAACAACCAACCCAAACCAGCAACTGGAAAAACCCTGCTGTTCTGAAGCATTGTATGGTTATGCCTGTGGATCATCAGCACAGCTGATGAAGTTTAGGTTCACAGTGCATTCTTTGCCTGTTGAGCTGAGGGAGAGTATCTGTAAGATACTGTTTCCTGTGGTCCTCTTATCAGATGCACACTTTGCCAGCTTCATGACGAACTGTGGAAGATTTGTGAGACTTGCATATCCTGGGAAAGACAGTTAAGTTACCTTACATATTTCCTGAGGGGAAAAAAAAGAACTAGGCAATTTCCGTGGTGCAACCCATCCACACCTATTGCAGGGGTGGAAAACCAGAAAAGCCATGCACAAGGGATGGTGTATATTACTTGGACTGCTTGTGGCTTAGGCTAGTCCTGCACTTCCATGCATCTCACTAATACATGAAAGGTCTGGCTAAGTTTCTGTGAATGCAATCTATATGGATTGTTAGTTTGTTATACTACAGCTTTACACTGTTTTGTTTATATGAATATGCATGACTTTATTGTATACAAAATCCCTTCTGAAATAAGTGTACTATATAAACAAACATAACATATATACCTGAACATTCACACTAGAACTGGTCAAAAGGAAGACATAAAAAAGGAACAGTATAAATTTAAAATACTAAAAGATGGAAGACTGTTCTAAGATTAAGGAATAATTCTATCAGCTGGTATTTCTTCATGCCATTTAATTATTATTTATTATTCACTGAGACAAATAAGGATGTGAATATGAGGCCTTTGTGGCTGCAGTGAACAGACACTGCAATGTGAACAGACGTTTTCATTACTGTTCTTCTCATTCTTGTCTGTCTGCCTGAGCAAAAACTGTTCCTACGAGAGAGGGAAGACGACTTATAGTTGCTGCAATCAACGTTTTATTTAAATATATATTTTTTCCTTAAGAATTTATCTATGCCTTATTGAGGTGCCTATCACTGCAAGAATAAAAAAAATACATTTTCATTAATCTACTAAGGAAGACTGAGCAGGTTGATTTCCACCCATCGTCAAGACCAAATCCTCGAGATTTGAGGAGCACATTACTTTGTTTAGGAACCTTTGTTGACCTTCTTTTGACTTAGGTCACATCCCTAAACTAACACTAGGGAATGGGCTACTGTAATCTTTACTTGTCTGCCTTTTGCCACTAATCATACCTCCAATTACACTATTCCTGTGGCAGAAGATGCTGCCTTGCCCACGAGAATTGAAGCTTTCTTGCTCATACAAAGCAGAACAAATCAAACAAGATGGGAAAAGCCAGTGGTGACCCATGGCACGTCCCAGCAATTTTTATGCTGAGAGGTAGATCCAGGCACTAGAGAGACCTCATCTGCTGCTCGGGAGGATAAATACTGGTGTAGTGGCTACACAGATTTTGGCCGAGTCCCCTGTTGCTGGCAAACCCTGCCTGCATCCACAGTAGGGAAGGGTGTGGGCTGGATAAGGTGGCCCGTTGGGGCTGGTTCACACTGTGTGAAACAGGAGAGCAAGGGCTCCCCACTGGAAGCTGAGTGACGCACACAGTAGGCTCTGCAGCTGCAATGACAATATTTCAGTAGCAAAGAACTAGTTAATGCAGCTAAATATTAAAAAAGATGGAAAAAAGGGAAGAAAAAGGCAGAATGAGAGAGTGCACACTGCTCACAGTGATCTCCCCTCTTCTCTTTTTCCACTTTTATAAGGCTAAAGAGTCTTAACTATTTGTTTTAATTTCTTCGGCAAGGTCTAATGCAGCTTCACCCTTGGCAGTTCTCTCCCCAACACTCACTTCCTGACCATAAAGACACAGCTTGCTTTGCTGCCTAAGTAATTTTTCCTATTTCTGTAAGTTCTCTATTTATTCCTGCTACGCTTCATTTTGTTATTCCTTTTGTCCTGAATACTGATGGGTTTTTTCCTACTCTTGTGCTGAAAAACAAAACTCATCCAATTTCCAAGATACTCATGCTCGAATAAATGTCATAAAAGATTTCAGCCTCACAGGTTTAAGGCTAAGTTAAAACCCATGGAAAACAAAGGAACATACAGGAAATTGATAAATTTAATAGTAAGTGGCTGTATGAGTTTTGTGTACAGTATTCTAATTTTTTATATTTGCTTGTCTTTTAAGATAATTGCAGGGATTTCCGCAGGTCAGCATATAGCCATGACAACTGACAAAGGCATGCTGTGAGCTCAGTCTGCACAGGATAAATGAAGAAAGCAGAAAGGTCAGTTTGATATTAAGCAGAGAAGAGCTGAAATTTACTTCAGTGTGCAAATGGTCCTAGTTTGTGACTGTTTTTCTTTAAAAATGTTATTGTCAGGCAAAACAATATAGTCTTCCTAGTACTGACTATTTTACTTGCCTTATATAGTATTTCTTCTTCCAAAATGCATATATAAAATACCAGCTAAAGGAACAGCCAGTAATCGATAATATGGGGGGAAAACCCCAAACACTATTCCCTAGATGTGTTCTACCAATGAGTAATTATTACTTTTTTAAACATTTAACAATAAAAGTTTACTAACACCTATGAGACTCATATGTAATGGATACTCCTCATTTGTATTTGCAGAACAAGCATCAATCCCATTTCACAAGTGACATTTCCTATACGTTTCCCACGTGTATGGATGCATAAGCTGTGGGATAATGTTTTATGCATATTAAGTGAAAACCAGAGTACAATAAAAACCCACGTTCCATTAATATCCCCTTCTCATCTTCCAGGAATAATTTTAATACCATTTAATGCAGATTACTGACACCTATTCTCTACTTCCTCCCATCCCTGTGGACATTGACTGCTTTATCCTTCCAAAGCTCAACACCTGTCCCTATAATGCCTGAGAAGGAAAAACTGGCTTTGTTTCCAAAAACAAAGCTATTGCAGAGTTTAGTGCATCAGAACCCTTGGGAAGGTGAGGAAGAAACACTTTTTGGGGTCTGTTTCTGAGCAGTGAAAGCTCTGGCATGTGAAGGCCCATCTCCTTCATTCCTTCTTAAGTAGAGAAAGAAAATACTGCCTTCATCCCCCCTTCCAAAGTCTGCTGTGACTCTGAATTCATTCAAAGCCAGGATGAGTCACAGATGTGCAAAAGCTGGAGATACAAACAAAAATCTAATACATATTACATCTTTTAGTAGGGAAAATGTTAGTATTTCAAAGACAACAAGGGGGTATTTGGAAAGGGAAGACCAATGTTTCACAACAATGCTAATAATTCCATAAAAAGTAAATGCAGGCCAAATTCAGCTCCCCATTATACCTCTGCAACATTTGCTGTATGACTGTAGCTGCAGAAAGACTCTGGGCTACTGTGCTAATGCTAAAAGAACAAAATATGAAGCATGCATCAGTCTTTCACTTGCAGACTTCAAAGACTGAAAAAACCCTAAGTGCAAAGGTTGTTGATTTTAGGATTCCTTTTTTTAGCGGCCTGACATCTTAAATCAGCAGAACTGTACGGAAAACAATGGTGAAAACTTCAAAGTCAAACAAATTACGCAAGTTTGCATGTGCCTCCAGGGCACATGGAGGTACATGCTGTCTTACCGGCCGCCAAGCCACGTGCCAGCAGTGGAGCTGGAGATCAAACTCTTGCCTTCTTAGTCTCAGGCCAACACTTTTATCTTTGGAAATTACTTCCTATTTAAGAGATAGGTCTGGATAGCGTAGCCTGGATGTAAACACATAATGTGGTATGCAGTTTGGATCCATTGATATTAATGTTAAACTACATGCTTGTAAAGTTCAGTTTTACATCCTGCTTACTCATCAGTGATCACGCCTTGCAAAATAAGCAAATGTTTGTGCTGCATTAGTTCAAAATACTTTGAATCAACAAAAAAGGGCTGAATTTGAAAAAAGTAAGCATCCCAGTTGGTTAAGGACTGCATGTTTCAGGACATCACAAGCTGCAATAAATGTAGCACAGAAAGTTCACAGAAAACTTCAGCTAGACCAGAAAGCCTATGCCTTTGCCTCTGCAAGTCACAGACATGTGACGACTTCTATCTGGCAAAGGAGAAATGAAGGGATTTGGCAGCAGAATTGTTAATTATATTAAAACTGAAATAAAGCAAGCTAAAAAAAATTTCTCTGATTCTGTATATATTTTACTGAACTCTGACAGAAAAGTGTGGTAGACCACAATACACTGTGTTAAAGCAATAAATATAAAGGAGCTACAGGATTTGAAACCTGACTATTTCCACTCTAATCTCCGCATTGAAAGAGCTAAACTATGCTTTCAAAATAGAAATAAGATTAAGGATGAAACGAAGAACAAAATGCTTGGAACAAAATGTAGAGAAGCCACAGATCAATTTGAATAGACACAAGCTTGGTGCTGAACAACTGAGTTGTAGTTCACATTGTATTACTGTGATCACAGTACACGGGTGAGATCAGACTGGCACAGAGAAATATTTCCCCAATTTC